TTCCCTTCGCGCTGCACTACGCTCGTCTACTACTTACGAGATACGATTTTTTAAAGAATCCGCTCAATTTTCGTCCTCATCCATCCGTAATCGTTTTCGCCGATCCTCGCCGACGTTCCGTTCCTCCGCCTCTAGCACCTTCAGTCGAGAACCACAGATTTCTTGCCCGTGCAAAACCTAAAAGATACCATATTTTTAATTTAAGATATTTTTGTAGCGCGTGTGGATACAAAATTCTTCGTAATAAATACAACAATAAAGGCTGTAGGAAAAAAAGGGAAGACCTTACCTCAATGGCCTCGTTCGCGCTGTCAATGCTGGCATATTTGGCGTAGCCGCAATTTTTGCCGGGTAACATATATACATCTATGAGATTTCCGAACCTACAGAATGCATCCTTCATAGCGTAGATGGGTGGTACCGGCGGGCCGCAGACAATGAAACATCTCTTGGCTACCTCGGCGTCGATGCTCGCCATCGGTTGCGCCGGCGGTAGCTTTACAGATATGTGATCCAAGCCTAAAGTGAGAAACGAAGCGACACTTCACACACAACATATTTACTCCCTCGTGGCACCAAGCGTGCTGAAGAAACCAGTTTAAATTTACTCACTCGGTGCCGTCAATCCTGCGGCTTGAATCAACGACGTTGCTTGAGCGATAGTCTCCGCCAAATGTGCTAGATCCGTCCTCGCGTTGGCGACGCTGCCGACCGCCGTCGAACCGCCCGGCTTCGTCGCGCTCTTCGGTGGTGCGCTCGTCAAATCCGGTTTGACGATCATCCGATGACCAGGTGGGTACTCGAAACCGTGAAACTTCTCGCGCGCATATGCCGCCGCGCTCGGATTGTTGTACACCACAACCGCCTGTCCGCGTGGCATTCTGTATCTCACGTCGGTCTTCAAGTGGCAGTAGTCCATACCGGGCACTATATCAAACAGCTTCCACAGCTGATCTTGATTTAATGCCGGATGTGCGATCACCTGTAGACGCGTGTAGCCATCCGAGTTGGAATAGTTGGTCGCTATCTCTAGACTAATGCTGCTCTTGCCGAAGTTGGACGTGCCGTAACTGCCGCCGGTACCGTCGTACGCGGCGCTGGACAGACCGTTGTTATATTTGGCATCGTTGTGATCGGGTTTCGGCTTCTTCGGCTCGGCGAAAACCGCCTTGTACTTTCTGTCGCACTCCTCGAATGCTCGTGCTGCGCTGGATACCTTCTTGAACTTGACGTAGCCGAAACCCTTGGACTCGTTCGTGCTGCGATCCTTCACCACGGTTGCGTACTCGATAGCACCGAATTTGGAGAACTCCTGCTGCAGCTCGCTGTCAGTCATCGTTTTCGGTAAGACACAGAACAGTCGAACCCACCTCTCCTCTTCGTTCGTCTCGCGCACCGAACCCTGATCTCGACTAAAAAAATCAATCGACCATAAGATAAAATATATTACAGATTACGATCGCAAAAAAGAGCGTTTAATTAAAATACCTTTAAATAAAATAAAAATAAGAAGACACCGGGACTTACTTTGAGGCGATCATCACTTTGATAGGTCTGCCGACGGAGCCCAGCATTTTGCCGTTCATCTCCTCGAGGGCGAACGCCGCCTCGGACGTTTTGGAGAACTTGATATACGTAACGCCTACACATAGTACAACACAAACATAGGAGATTAGAGGGAGATTCGTTGACATATACGTAGAGTATAAAAATGACGTGAGAGAAATTGCATACATTTCCGGATGAAAAGGATAGAACCACCAAAAGAAACAATGCATTTTAGTATGATATAAATAGAGAGAGAGAGAGAGAGAGAGAGAGAGAGAGAGAAAGAAAAGAAAAGAGATAGAGAGCGGATCCGCGCTTTCTTATCGATTAGTTTTATCCTTAGCAAGGCACACAGAATCACCTTTATTCTCGCCCGTGTTACGATCCTTAACCACCCAGATGTCCTCGATCTTGCCGAACTTCTCGAACGCCTTCCTGAGATCATCCTCCTCGAGGCTCTTGTGACAGATGACGAAGAGACGAGAGTTCGGCGGATCGTCGTTCTTCGAGCGCAGATCCGTTTGCGAATAATACGAATCCCGTTCTCTGTGGTCGGCCATCTTTGACTTTATCAATGCGACGAACACGAGCGCTACCGCGAGCGCGGACTATTCACTGCCACCCGTTTTTACCGTCGTCTACGGTCGGCGGGCGCCTACCGAGTCTTCCCCTTCCCCCTTCTTCACCGCGTACCGTCAACCCCTCTCCCGGTACATCTCATTCCCCGTGCGAAAAATAATTAAATTCTTTTAATTATGCCACATACATTATATCCTCTAGAATCAAAATGAGATAAACATGCGAAACTATAAGAGAAAGAGAGAGAAACCGTGAAATCATTAAAATAATGAAAAATGAAAATCCGACAAGGCATGTACGAGAGATTTAATAAAGCTTTTGACATTTGACGTTAAATGTGATCGGGCGATTCTCTCCGAGTTTTGTTTGTCTCATATGGAATCCATGTGATGTTATCTCGCTGTCGCGATATGTTTAGAAAAAGAAAATTTGATTGCGTTTCAATTGCCAATATGATTAAAATTAATCAAATGTAATCTTATAAACAGAATAAGACATAAATAATAAGAAATAAGTGACGATTAATTAATACAATTGTTGGTTTTGAGGTAAAGAAATATATACCAAAGAGAATTGTATAGCAAATAACAGCATCAAAATATCTTCGTATATCTCGAAAATTTAATATGCAAATTTTAACTTTCGATGCACAATTTTTCACGTACTGTTGCACGTTTACGTGATCGAGATATAAATAAAAACTTATTGTGTATGTAAAAGTCCTTAATGCATAATGTGTATATGTATAATAAACATTAGCCCGACCTTGATGTTAAAAAAAAAAAACCCGATTAATATTAAATATTCTTCAGATAAACGCAATGCATCGAGAACGAGACTTCAAGGCTGACCGGCATCATAAAAAAAAAAAAAAAAAACTGGCATTGGAGAGAAGTTTCAGGTATATTTAGCATGAATTAATTAATTCATTCATCAGGCTCTACGCGCATTCGGCGTCGATAATGTCGCGGAATAAATAAAACATTTTGTAGATTGAAATATACTTAAAATGCAGTTGTGGAAAAAGCCAACTAAATAGGGATCTTCTCATTATTCAAAAATCGTTAACGTTACGGCAGAGAGCGCACAAAAAAAATTAGATAGCGCAAAGTTATTTCCGGAGTATCCATTTCGCGAGCGCAATTGAAAACGTCGGCGTAATTGAAAGTGTCATGCTCCAATATCTTCGCGTCCGTGTCTGAGGAGAAAGAGAAATGTAACGTAATGTCGACGGATTCGCAATCTGTAATCACAGCGCGGCGTTTCACTGTAATTTAGTCGTCTTATGTATCCACTTCCTCACGATTTCTATCTCCTTTCCTCTCGTTCTTGCGTCAACGTTCTAGCGAGCGAAACGCAACATACAGTGATAATTTCATTATCGCTTAAACGGTAAAAGCAAAATAAGTCCACAAATTGTGTTCGCTGTTTACGACCTGTGCGTGACGCATATAATGTCGTCGAGCGCTTACATTAACTTCCACAGTCGCTGAGTAATGTACGTTATCCACGTTACGTAACCCGTGTCTCCAAATCGGAGTTTCCTAAAATATACGTACGACTCGAATGGAACGCGACCCATGCACGGAAGTGGTAGTCTTTGCAAAATAAGACGTCACAGTTGATGATACAAGAGTATTTTACGCAGGAAGGTTTGTCGAAAAAAATTCTGTTATTCATTCCTGTTTATTTCTTTGTAAATAAAGCTCAGTATATATTTTATCAATGTAAACACATTTGTAAAAATATATATAAGCCTTTTTTTAAACTTGCTTCTTTGTATGTGATTTATTCTATATTTAGAAAATTTAGAAAATTTGTATATATTTGCGAAAATATATATTTATCAAGAATAGAGAGATCGCAAAAAAAGAAAAATATATTAATATATTAGATATATCTTTGTTCATATATGTTTTAATTGTAGCATCAACGTGTATTAAATCGTTTATTCGTTCTATCACATCAACTATCATATTCATAAAATTATATTGTCACTCACATATATATTTATAATAATTATAAATATATTTTTTTAATATACATTTATAATTATTATAAATACATATCTTATACATTGCATTTACATGTATTATAAATACATATAAATTACAAATACTTATGCTCTCTTAAAACCGCAATCTTTTCTCGCAATCATTTGTACATTATCGACCGTAATACTACCGGGAGATTCTCCGAGTTTACGCATCGTATGTGGAGGCGGATACTTTCCCGCCGTGTCCGGTCCAATTTGTATGAACAAACTTCCCTTCCTCGCCGAGCAATTCGTACGTATGGGCGCCGAAATAATCTCGTTGCGCCTGTAGTAGATTCGCCGGCAGTCGGGCCATTCTGAACCCGTCATAGAAGGCCAAAGCCGATGACAGAGCAGGAGTCGGTATGCCCAGTGTCACGGAGGTGCTCACCACTAGCCTGGCACTTTGATGGCACTCACTTACCGCTTTGGTGAAGAAATCGTCCAGCAGTAAGTTGGACAATTTTGGATTTTTGTCGTAAGCCAATTTTATATTTCCCAGGAATGCGCTGCGAAAGATCATTATCATTTTTTTCTCAAGAAATAAGTTTCTCTATTTTAATTTTATATAAAAATAAAATATATACATATAACTGTATTATATATCTACATGCAATATTTCTTTGCTTTAAATATAACATAAGATATTATTTTGACGAGAGATAATGAACGGTGTCTTTTGGAAGAAACAAGAATTATCTCGCGAGCCTCTGTGACATTAGATATGAAATATGTCTTTGAAACATTACACAGCTTTGATATTTTTATATCTTCTTGCCATATACTTTGAAAGATGTGTAAGGTCACTTGAGAAAGATTAGCGTGATATCGACATAAGTCGATGAGATTGCAAGAATGCGCTGCGAAAAGATCATTATCATTTTTTTCTCAAGAAATAAGTTTCTCTATTTTAATTTTATATAAAAATAAAATATATACATATAACTGTATTATATATCTACATGCAATATTTCTTTGCTTTAAATATAACATAAGATATTATTTTGACGAGAGATAATGAACGGTGTCTTTTGGAAGAAACAAGAATTATCTCGCGAGCCTCTGTGACATTAGATATGAAATATGTCTTTGAAACATTACACAGCTTTGATATTTTTATATCTTCTTGCCATATACTTTGAAAGATGTGTAAGGTCACTTGAGAAAGATTAGCGTGATATCGACATAAGTCGATGAGATTGCAAGTCGCGTAAATTTTCGTGCATACATTTCAGCCGATATTACCTTCTTATGATACATCCACCGCGCCACATCAATGCTATTCCGCCATAGTTCAAATTCCAGTTGTGGACCTTGGCGGCCTCTCTTAACAACATGAAGCCTTGCGCGTACGAGATAATTTTCGCAACGTACAGAGCTTTCCTTAAATGCTCAAGGAACTCTTTCTTGTCGCCCTTATATACTAGACTCGAACCCGTTAGTATCTTGCTCGCTTCCACGCGTTCGTCCTTTAGCGCGGACAGGCATCTGGCGAACACCGATTCTCCGATCAGCGTGACCGGCACGCCATAATCCAGAGCGGCGACCGCCGTCCACTTGCCGGTGCCTTTCTGACCGGCGGTGTCCCTGATGCGCTCAAGCAAGTAGCCATTCTCGTCTTTGTACTTAAGTATATCGCGCGTGATCTCGATCAGGAACGAGTTCAGTTCGCTCTTATTCCACTCATCGAACGTCGCGCTCATTTCCTCCTGCGTAAGCTGCAAAGCTGTTCGCATTATGTGATATGCCTCGCAAATGATCTGCATGTCGCCGTACTCGATGCCATTGTGCACCATCTTGACAAAATGTCCTGCGCCAGTTTCGCCGACCCAATCGCAGCACGGTTCTCCGTCAACTTTCGCGGCTATCGACTAAAAAATATTAGTCTTTCAGTAAATCATGTGTCTCATAGATTTTTGATATTATAAACAACAATAAACTAAGCATCGCCATACCTGAAAGATAGATTTAATATGCGGCCATGCTTTAGGATTGCCACCAGGCATCAAGGATGGTCCGTATCTGGCACCATCCTCACCTCCACTGACCCCGCTGCCCACAAAAAGAATTCCTTTCTGTTCTAGGTCCTTAGTACGTCTCTCAGTATCCTGATACTCAGAATTACCACCATCGATAATAATGTCTCCGGAAGAAAGGAGAGGCACTAATTGTTCAATAAAAGCATCAACGGCTGCTCCAGCTACAACATATAACATCAGATTGTATTTATAGCATTTATTATAAACAGTCATAGATTTTCAATTACAATAATAAAAGAGGTTACCTTTGACTAACAACATTACTCTCCTTGGGCTCTTCAAAGTACTGATCATTTCCTTCAAACTATAAGCACCGATAACTTTTGTGCCCTTGGCTTCATTTTCGAGGAAAGATTTGACCTTGTCAGTAGTACGATTGTATGCACATACAACAAATCCATGATCATTCATGTTCAGAATTAAATTTTGTCCCATCACTGCTAAGCCAATGAGGGCAATATCTGCTACTCTAAAACAAAAAAAAAATATATATGTTAATTGAAATTCGATAAAAAAGTCAAAATTTATTTTTTTCTTATATCTATATACTAAAAAAAAAAAAAAAAATGTCCATAATTGTCAGACAGCCCAATGCAAAATATTTTCTATGATTTATTGCTCTCTATAATACTTAGATTTTATAATAATTATAAAAATACACAATACACACATAATAATAATACACAATAATACATAACTTGCATTATAATTTCACGGCAATTAAAATACGTTTAATCTCTACAATTCTCTTGTTTCACATTCTTAAATTAGATATTCGGCTGTATATGATTCGAATGACCGCACGCTCGTAAATGTAATGAAATCGAAGGTGAAATCAAAGTGAATGAATAATTTTCTTTTCACGCGATATATTTACGTCATTCCAAAAAGAAAAAGAAAGAAAATACTCACGGAGTACTCATATTTGTGAATGTGTGATTCACGATGAATTAAATAAACGTGGAATTGCAGGATGCCGCAGGGAATGGCAGAGACAACAAGTGGTCGTCGCGCTTTTCGGCTCGTCGGGGAACGTGTGCGGAGTCCGCACTGCGGACGTCTGTTCAGATGACGTGCCCAACGTTCCTCGCGACGTCAGCTGATACGCCGCGAGCCAATCGTGGAACGCGCCAGGTCAGCAGGGCCTTCGAAGACTGCCATCGGCAAATGTTGTCATTATGATGATACAGCGTTACAAATATCGCGCAAAACATGCGATTTTATAACGTGAGCACGCGGGGCTTATCTGCTCTTGACCGATATTTGTTGTTTCTCGAGATTCCCTTTCGAAAGCAAAGACACCGCCGTGAGGTTGATTTCGGGAAAATTGATAGCTTAAATAACGCAGCGCGTTTTCCCCCCGAAATGTCAAAAATGTGACTCTCCATTTGTAATATTTCTTATCGAGTTCTTTAATTTCAAAATATTTTTCCAAGAGATTCCCTATGAATGGCTAATGATGCAAAATTCCATTGGAGTAAAAAAAAAAATCATGATTAAGCATTTTCTTTCACTCCGTAGTCGAAAAATGGCTACCACTCTTATGGTTAAACAGCGAGAGTTGGAAATATGTACATTTCGATAACTCGTCAAAGTTATCGGGAGAATATATTTCGATGATAGATATACGAACGAGGGGATATACATATAAATATAAAGTATATGTATAATTCGGAAAAATTGAACTAAATTAAAGTGAGTCGCGAATTCTGGTATCAAATTCTCGATATTAGGAGAGCAGGATTTAAAAGAGGTTACGCGAACCTCTTCCATATCATGTTCTCCTACTATCAAGAAGCTGGCACTGGATTTGAATTTACGACACTTCAGATTCGAGTGATTTTTACCTCTTGCTGAAATATATTCTCCAAATAAATTCGAACGATTTTTTGACGCAAAATGAAAGACAAATCGATTGTGGCTATATACGTATTATAAATAGATTAATCTCACGATCAGCCGGATATAATAATTTTTGTTATCATATTACATGTAATTTAATTAATTGCTAACTTGTTTTTACGTCAGTTAAAGCAAATTTTTCTAATATGCGAATATTAGACAGATGGACAATCAGAATATATCTATAATTTATATATTCAAATATAATTAATAAATATAATTTTATAATCCATCTAAACTTCTAGACAGATGGAGTGAAGCGAGTCGCGAATTCAAATTTTCGAGGCAAGAATTGACGTCGAGTACCTAAAGTCGAGAAAGTCGAGTCAGAGATGCCAATTCTGAGACTCTGTCACAGCCACAGCGTGTGGAGGGGATAACTCACACAAGCGTGAACCGTGTACATGTAATGCGCAGAGCGTTCTGCGCATTACACGTACACGGTTCACGCTTGGTGAGTTATCCCCTCCACACGCTGTGGCTGTGGCGGCGTCTCAAAACTGGCATCAGTGAGTCGAGTGGGCAGCAGCGCCGCACCCGGAGCGATGCGTCAAGCGTCAATTGCGTGAAAGCAACATGTCGCGCTTCGTCTGATCGGATCGTAGACAGCTTGTCCGCGTCTCTCCGCGATAACTATTAGATACCTCTCGTCCGTCTGCTCGTCGCGAATCCAGCTTGCGACTCCCGAATGCGTCGACGTTCCCGCGCGATTATGACGCCGCGCCGCGAGTCGGTATCCGACGTATCCTCACCGTCGTCGAGGCGAACATAACCCCGAGACAATGAACCACCCTGTTCCCGAGACATTCTCCTAATCGCGTGCGGGCGAGCAAGAACGGGCTTTGTGCGTCAACGAACAAATATTCCGGTCGTCTTGGGCTGAAAAGAAGAATCGACATGGGACTGCTATTTGCCAAGCTGTGGAGCTTCTTCGGCAACGAAGGTGAATATCTCATACGTTCGTGCAACCTTCCCTCCTTCTTTTTTTTCGCTTCTTTTGTGCGCGATCACCGTATATGTTATGACACGTGCGATGGGATCGTCGACGAGATAAATTATTCGCGATTTTCCGAATCGAAAATTCAATTAACGATCGAGCGAGTTGGATGTTCTGACGTTAAACTGACGTCGAACTAGTTGGGAAAGTTTCTTGAGTTTTTCGTAAAATATTCTCGCAAAATTTACTTTAATATTATTTGAAGTATTCTTTGCATCATTCCTTTCACCAGATGTCACAAGATTGTGTGGATAGGCAAACTGGACGACAACTATGCGTTCTAGAAATTCTATATAAATGTACATTGGCCTACTTTCTAATCTGTTAACATATGTTGTCAAGTCATAGTTTCTTTATTCTAAAATTCGGCTCTTGAACGTAAATATTTGAACTTGTTACTAACTTATTCTACTCCAGTTTGGTTTATCTCTATTGAACTCTCTATTTCTTAGACTCAGAATTTTTCATTATCTCTTATCAAAATTTGTTCTCCTGATAAATTTGACAGTTCTTCGATAAATATCCTAACTTGTGTATTCTCCAGCACTTTTAAACCTCCTTGAATTTCTATATCTTTATTATATATTATACTTGCATATGCTGTAATATACTGATAAGAAAAAAAAAAAAAAATTTCATGTGAAATTTGTATCAATATTTCATATCACTATTATAGTTCCAGCCTTATCAACATGCAACTCACTCTCTTTAATCTGTGATAATATTCTTCATCAAACAAATGCTTAACCAGTTGTACCTTTACAGAATATTTCAGCTCTTTGTAATAATTATATCAATGAAAAATTTCATTGCTTTCAGAGCATAAGATAGTTATGGTCGGTTTAGACAATGCTGGAAAGACGACTATATTGTACCAATTCCTGATGAACGAAGTTGTTCACACATCTCCAACCATTGGCTCTAACGTCGAGGAAGTGGTGTGGAAGAATATACATTTTATCATGTGGGATTTGGGTGGCCAGCAAAGTTTGAGGGCTGCCTGGTCCACTTACTACACAAACACCGAGTTTATCATTATGGTTATAGACAGTACAGATCGAGAGCGACTCGGTGTAATTAGGGAAGAGCTGTATTTCATGTGAAATTTGTATCAATATTTCATATCACTATTATAGTTCCAGCCTTATCAACATGCAACTCACTCTCTTTAATCTGTGATAATATTCTTCATCAAACAAATGCTTAACCAGTTGTACCTTTACAGAATATTTCAGCTCTTTGTAATAATTATATCAATGAAAAATTTCATTGCTTTCAGAGCATAAGATAGTTATGGTCGGTTTAGACAATGCTGGAAAGACGACTATATTGTACCAATTCCTGATGAACGAAGTTGTTCACACATCTCCAACCATTGGCTCTAACGTCGAGGAAGTGGTGTGGAAGAATATACATTTTATCATGTGGGATTTGGGTGGCCAGCAAAGTTTGAGGGCTGCCTGGTCCACTTACTACACAAACACCGAGTTTATCATTATGGTTATAGACAGTACAGATCGAGAGCGACTCGGTGTAATTAGGGAAGAGCTGTATTCGATGTTGAATCACGAGGAGTTGAGTAAGGCCAATGTTCTGGTCTATGCCAACAAGCAAGACTTGAAGGGCAGCATGACTGCGGCCGAGATTTCGAGACAATTGGATCTGACATCTATCAAAAAGCATCAATGGCATATACAGAGCTGTTGCGCTCTCACGGGAGAAGGGTAAGACAACGATCTTTAAACAATACTTGTACGCTGTTCTTGTGATAGGGGAGATAAAATCTGAAATAAATATGAAATAAATATGAAAAAAAAAAAAATGTTTCAGGCTGTACCAGGGTCTAGAATGGATTGTCGGACGCTTGAAAAAGACATGACGTACATTATGAGAGTCGATTATAAATCTAATGAAATATCCAAAATGTAAAATATGTTATTAAGATAAGTATCTCTCAGTTACACACACACTTTGACAGTTGTACGAAAGAGAAAGGTAGCCTGGGGACTGTCGTATTTCGTTAGTCATTATTTATATCTCCCGGTATGACTCTCAAACGCGAGCATTTCAACGAACGGTGGACGGGTGAATCTGCGTTTTAGCTATTATATCGCGAAAGTAACATGTAAACGCAATACAAACGCGCGGCTATTTATGCGATAAAGAGAAAGTTCGGTATTAATTATTATGTAAAGTATATGGCTATAGTACCAAGTTTTCTCTTGTCTACAGTACGATATATGGAAAAATAAATGAAGATAGAAAAGTACAAGACAAAGTATTAGGCGCGCACATAAAAAAAAAAAAAATCATTTTTTTAATCTCGAGGAACGTACGAAATATGCACACACTTAGCGTTGATCGCCATAATTAAACGTTTATCAAATCGAACCATAAATCCATGGTTCAATCGCTTCCATTAAAAAAGTTATATCGATTACTTATGCAAATTATTACATGGTGGAAGAGTGTGAAACTTTATCCCGTCCACCCGCATTCAGCAGTGGAAAACAGGCAGATGAAGATAACTAACATTATTTGTACTCAGTTGACATAAGAGCGCAACAGAAGTGCACCTGTGTACATAGTTTTTTATACTTCTCGTTAAGAGAGCGAGCTATGTAGAAAAAAAAAAGAAGAAAAAAGTAACGTCGGACGGGAGTACGATATTTTACGACGTTCGCGTACGTAAGGGCCCGAGCAGATTCGCGGCAAGGTCACCCGATCGATGAGAAACCTTTCGTGGCAGAATACGAACTGCTCTGTGATACGTGGATTCAATTCTGAGACAGTTGTTTGCTGGTCAGATGATGAGAGATACGAATTACGTGTCGCGCGAAAAGTAAAAAAAAAAAAAAAAGAATCAATAGATAAAACCGATAATGTGTGAAGGAAGACTGATAAGATTCTCCAAGGTGTAACGCACAGATAGTATCGCGATAGGTGAATGGAAAGCTTTGAATAAAAAAAAAAACTCGTCCACCTTTTCACTGATTGTTTGCTTACTCTTTTCAATTTATTCCTTTTTATTTTTTCTAGATCAATCAAAAAGATCTGCTTTAAAAGCATCTTAACCCTAATTATATACGTTATTATTATAGTTATTATAATTATTGTAAATAGTTATTATAATTATTCTTCAATTTTCTCGTCTAAAGAAAGCGCGAGTCCTTAGCCATTTAAGGAAACTCATCTTTCCATTCCATTCACCCGCGATTATTATATGCCACCAGGATGTCGAGAGGGACGTTCGCGAAATTATACGGAATTTCCTTGTCCCCCAACTGACAGCTGTCTCGTTTTTGTCTTTATTTAAATCGTAAGTGTAACATCTATCTTTTATGTAGTGCGTAAAATACTCCAATAGATATAATATTAATATTGTGTAGCTTATATGAAAAAAATTAAACTATATCAATGCTGAGAAATTATCGATATGAGAGACGGGTATAAGGCCAAGATTATTATAGGAAATTGTTATTAATCATCATCGTGCGAGAAATAATAATGCCGTCTAATGTCAGAGTGAGATCTTAACGCTTAAAAGTTACATAAAAATTAATAACGTCGTCTTTCTCATATTGAGAGAGAAACGGATTCTTAGATGTTGATGACATAAGACTCGTCCACCTTTTCACTGATTGTTTGCTTACTCTTTTCAATTTATTCCTTTTTATTTTTTCTAGATCAATCAAAAAGATCTGCTTTAAAAGCATCTTAACCCTAATTATATACGTTATTATTATAGTTATTATAATTATTGTAAATAGTTATTATAATTATTCTTCAATTTTCTCGTCTAAAGAAAGCGCGAGTCCTTAGCCATTTAAGGAAACTCATCTTTCCATTCCATTCACCCGCGATTATTATATGCCACCAGGATGTCGAGAGGGACGTTCGCGAAATTATACGGAATTTCCTTGTCCCCCAACTGACAGCTGTCTCGTTTTTGTCTTTATTTAAATCGTAAGTGTAACATCTATCTTTTATGTAGTGCGTAAAATACTCCAATAGATATAATATTAATATTGTGTAGCTTATATGAAAAAAATTAAACTATATCAATGCTGAGAAATTATCGATATGAGAGACGGGTATAAGGCCAAGATTATTATAGGAAATTGTTATTAATCATCATCGTGCGAGAAATAATAATGCCGTCTAATGTCAGAGTGAGATCTTAACGCTTAAAAGTTACATAAAAATTAATAACGTCGTCTTTCTCATATTGAGAGAGAAACGGATTCTTAGATGTTGATGACATAAGAATTGTATCTCGTGTGCACATTGTTTCCCCATAGAAATTCTATACGCGGGGCTATTATGTCGAATTTATTCTCGGACATGTCCGTCTTCTTTATGTAATCGTGTAAAAAATTTTCTGAAATGTAAAGTACAAGACATAGGTTGTTTTAACATTAATCGATTGTTGGCGAAGCAAGTACGCGCGTAAAAAAAGATGTAATTCGTGTTAATTTTACGAATTACATACACGTTCGATCTGTCGGAATAACGATTACGAGAAATCACACAATCCATTTTCGCGATTTATTGGTCTTTATCTAATAATATTGTATAATATATATATATATATCCCAGAGGGGAGAGGGGGGGAAGTGTCTCCTGTACAATTTTATTAAGTAATAACAAAAAGGCTAAAATGTGTGATGTCAAATAAATCAGTTTCTATCAATAAAAAACACAGATCTTCATTATTTCCCTCCACCATAATAATTCCATCCCTTTTTCCAATTTTTGCTTTTTGATAAATAATAATAGTTCTATATCATTTTTGTAAATCAAAAAGTTAGATCTTTAAAGTTAGGCATTTCTTTTTATGTCGAGTGACATACATTAATGTTGCGAGTTCCAAACTCTGAGAAAGAGGATTTCAGCCGGTTACCTTTAGTTCATTTATTTTCACATTTTCATTATAAATAAGATACGCACACACTCGTTCATTGTGATAACAGTGGTTCCACCACTGGCCATGCTCCTTAATTTTATGCGCGACAACTCGCCACGATCGAGTAACCGCGTTAGCCGTTCGACGAGACTGTTGACTGCTATATTTAAGTGCTTGTTGATCATTCCGCACCTATTTGCTCGCTCTTAAGTATTCGGCAACTACAGCAACTTGCAGCACAGTAATATTATCTTTTCCGCCATTCTAAGAACATTTTAATTGCAATAAACTTCCTGAGAGAGAAGTGAGATAGTAAACTAACAGTCCCCCAGGAGAATTACATTCAAATTAATTAGGACTACGCGACTTTGCGTTTTAGCGACTATTGTCTCGAAATCTATTTTCTATTCATGAAAATTAGCTTTCAACAAGGTTTACTTTTTTATTAATTAAAAGAATGTAATATACACTTTTAGGCAGTGTATCTCTCGAATGACAAGGCAAGACAGTGTACTAATACAATGTACTAATTCCTACATCGTGTCGTCATCGAGCTAGTACAACGCAAAAGTCTGAGAGGCAGCCAAGAAAATCGTCCGAATAACGATGGTCCGAGCTGGATTGGACCATCTTCTAGATGTCTAAACTTTTTTGTTATCTGGAGTTAACGTAATATGAATCTGCTATTTAATTGCCATTTTTCACTTCGTGTTGCTGAAATTAATTGCTAATACGTTGACTATCGTTCTAAATCTCGCGTTTACGCAATCAACCTTTTCTCCTAAATCTCTGGCGATAATTAACGAATTACTGAATATCGAGAGCGATGAGTATATTTACAATAATGCTTTATCTATCTGTGATGCGTCTCTCTATTTTATGTGAGTCTATTTCCAAATAATGTCACATCCTACGAAAGACGTCTTTCAAAAGTCTAAGAGATATTTTTGTATTTAAAGACTCAAACTCAACTCTTGGATTTGTACGTTGTCTTTTAAATTTTCTCACGAGTTTGGCAGTTTCCACTATTGGACCAATCTACGTTTCCGCTTAAACAAGCAGCTACGTCGCAACAACTGCATTTCATGTAACTTTCCCCGCAATATTTTCTGAATACCAGCGATTTGAAAGTCGTATTAATTATATTATATTTATACAGTTATATCATAACTAATACGATTCTTTGTAATCGCTTATATTCGAAAATACCAACAGGAAGAAAGTTAATGCGAATTCCGCTTCGTTGACGCGGAATATTGATGTATTTGCTCTTAATTCTACATTTAGATAATACATTATTATAGCATAATTATTTGTCGTGTTTAATACCTAGCCTTGTTTTTTTCGCACATTCTCTTTCTCTCTCTTTCTCTCTTTCATTCTCTCGCTCTTTCACTCTGCAATTCATACTCTCGTTCACTTGATAAGGCGCGGAGTCGTTGAGGCGACTCCGTCGAGGTCGGCATCAAAATACCTTTTCGCGACGTTCCCGGTTTCGCTTGAACGAGATCGGGACGACGAGATTGATTTCAAAGTAATGCCGATGACGATCGTCGATTAAGTGATAGACGGGCATTCTTAAGCTTTGACAGCTTTCATAAGAAGATCGGTGCTGAGGGATTTAGGCCTCTCAATGGGCAATCCTAGAGCGCGGTCCCACACCAGGGAAGCAAGCACGCCCAACGCGCGCGATACGCCGAACAGGACCGTGTAGTAGTTCATTTCCTTCATGCCATAGTATTGCAGCAGCACACCCGAGTGAGCGTCCACGTTTGGCCACGGGTTCTTCACCTTGCCGGTCTCCAGTAGGATTGGCGGTACCACCTTGTATACCTGCGCGACCAACTGCAAAAGAGAAAATTACATCAATATCGAAATTTGATCTGAAATACAACACCCTCTAATTAGTATTATACAAATTTAATTTCCGTTTAAATTAGAATATTAATTTTTTGTAACAGAATATATTATGTATTAATAAAAGCAAATAAAACTTCAACATCAAACATTTAATTTTTTAAATTTCAATGTTAATACTCTTAAATTCTTAAAGTAAAGTGAAACTATAATGAAATTGTTTTTTACATTTTGCGCAAAAAAATTCTTCTATTCGCATATTTAGAACACACTTGACGTTCTAAATCATGGGAACGCGCAATTTACCTTGAACAATGTGTCGTCCGGCAAATGTTCTAACGCGAACTCTCTCTGGCACGTGTATCTCGGATCGGTTTTCCTGAGAACGGCGTGTCCGTAACCGGGCACAACCTGGCCGCTCTTCAACGTATTCCAGATGAACTCCTTGAGCTTGTCATCACTCGGATTGTCACCGACTTGAGAGCGTAGCTTCTCCAACCACACCAGCACCTCCTGATTGGCCAGTCCATGGAGCGGTCCAGCCAGTCCATTCATACCGGCGGCGAAGGACAGGAACGGATCTGACAGGGCTGATCCTACTAAGTGAGTGGTGTGCGCGGACACGTTACCGCCCTCATGATCCGAATGGATCGTCAGGTAGAGACGCATCAGCTCGATGAACTGTGGATTGTCGTAGCCGAGCATATTGGCGAAGTTCCAGGACCAGTCCTTACCGGCGTCGACCGAGCCCAGGCCCTTGCCGCCCTTGTAGATGTTACGATAAATGGTGGCCGCCACCACCGGCAGCTTGGCAATCAGATTCATCGAGTCCTCGTACACGGTTTCCCAATACTTGCTCTTGTGCACACCCTTATTGTATGCCTTGACGAATTCGCTCTCGCTGTTCAGCAGCGTGATCGCCGCGGAAAACTGCGTCATTGGATGCAGAGTCTTGGGGAAATTGTTGAGGGCCTTGACCACGTGTTCGGGTAATGAGCTTCTGGCCGCCCATTCCTGCGAGATGGCCTTCACCTGCGCTTCCGTGGGTACGTCGCCGGTAATCAGCAACCAGAAGAGACCCTCCGGAAGTGGTTCCGAGCCACCGGCCGCCTTCGGTAGAAGTTTCTGACACTCGGGGATCGACTTACCGCGGAAACGGATGCCTTCCTCCGGATCGAGCACCGATGGCTCCCACACGAGACCCTTGATGCCGCGCATACCGCCGTACATCTGCAATCGAACAAGAATATATTAATATGTATTAATAATAGAATTAATATCGTATAAATATTTCATCAATTCTTCATTTAATTATCTGAATCTTCTTCAGTTTGTTTTAATTAAATTGTGCCTATCAATAAATTACAAAAGATTGGATATATGTATATATACAAATTTCTCGAGAACGCTATTAAAAAATTTTCTTTAGTAATTAACATTAAGGATATTCTTTGTCTAATAGCTGGGTTTGTGAAAGAAATATCGAAATGCTTTCAATTGATCACGGAGAGATCACGGATAGATAAATGTAAACACACACATCTTCACGTGCAATGAGTAAAATAATCACATGAGAGCTCGCAATTTGTTCAGTGACGATTAATCTCCATGCTGTATTCGACCGATAATCGCCCGCCAAAAAAAAATACGCTAGTTATTGTCGCAAGAATTTGCATGCGCGAATGGAAAAATTATCAATACACGATACGGCTATCACGATCACATAGTTAGCACGCGCGCGGTCCCGCGATCATTCCATGGTCTTTATCGTCAGAATGGCAAAAAAAATTGCTCGTCGTATTACATGGAATCTTTTCTCTCCGTGGAATTTATCAGCCGACGAGAATTTATGACTAATGTAATTAATTATCAATATCCTAATTATACATTGTAATGTAGCTTATTTTAACCGCGATATAAAATGGGATTATAAATGAGAGAAAAAGAAAGAGAAAGAGAGAGAAAAGTAGCAATAAAGTGCATACCATGTCGACAGTAACTTCTCCGACCTTAGTGGCTCCATGACTCTTACGGAAGGCTTTGACACGTTCCTGCTCTCTCGGAATCTTTTCCGCAAGAATCTTCTTGAGATCTGTGGATGCATCGGTCAATTGTCGCAAGAAGACCGTCTTCGTTATTTTCTGAAAAAGAGAAAGGAGTCATGATAAAATTGCTTTGTTAACAGTAACAAACGTATTAAAAGTCTTACAATAAAATAAAAATATATTTCCCCAGCTTTATCTTTTCAATTTATTTCTCCGACTACATACCGACTCCTCTGACTCCATGCGTGTTTTGATTTGATAGATATCTTTCGTACTTGTCGTATGAGTTGTGTAAAGAATCATCACGACAAATGGCACGTGGATTATGTAAAAAGGACAAACCGTACTGTCAACTGCACACGCGAGTGTTCATCGGCATTGATAAATTGCGATTTTATATTAAGAAACAACAGGAAATAATTCCTAAAAACACTATTTTCCCACATGAAAGCCATGCAATTTGCGAAATTGACGTCACGTGATTATAACATCTTATGATAATAAGATTCAATTTCTAGTTATAATTGTTTGGATAAAAAATTATTTATTTACCTTAACAAGTATAATTTAACATCGAAAGAATGAAAAGTTGTCAATTAAAAAATAATCTTTACATTAGAATTATCAATCAATTTAATTGAAAGATTTTTTAGAGAGAGCGCGATTACATCACGATTACTCGGAAATTATGCAGCAGATACGTTTTTTTTTTTTTTTCGTTAAACGTCTGATCGACTCTTTATGACGATACAAAAAAAAATCGTTTCTCATCTTGACACGCACCATCGAACGTCATGAAAACTCAGATAAAAGCGAGGTCGCGGGATCTCGTGTTTGAGGTCATTATCAGTAGCTCGCGGAAACGCCATCGGCGTGGATTAATCTCCCTTCTCTACCCCTCTATCGTTTATTTCCACGGAGGATAGCAAGCATATTATTATCTTTAATACGATAAAGAGCTTAATTTAGAAAAATAAAAATGTAGCGAGTTTTAGTATCTTTGGAGTCAAACATGAAATTTTTGGGACATTTTACACGAGTATTATATCGCGAATGTCAGTGTGTCAAGTAGCAGAAATGATAACGTAATATACAAAAAAGATAAATGTATAGTATAATATACAATAAAAATACTTATTATTATTTTGTTATTAATATTATTATTGTAATATTAATACTTTTCAACAATAATAATAAAATAATAATGGAGCAATAAAAATGATAATTGCGAGTAATATAAACGATGATGAATTTAGCGACATATAAATATTCAAACTTTGGTGAAGAAAAGATGAAGACCAACTTATTGTTGTTACATAATCGCAACATATGGGGGAGGCACGTGTACACGAATGCGTGGATACTGACGAACCTCGTGCCTTCGGATACCGAAGCGGAAACCTTTTTTTTTTTTTTCTTGTAAGCAAAACGAAAATGTATTCATTTAAAGTCCCGTTATTTGCGACATGTCTAATGCATTGCAGTAGGAACTAATTCATGCGAGAAGAATTTCTTCAACACGCGTGCGATAAAAAAATGCACCTGAATACTTGTGTATACAGAACGACACTCAACAGATAATTAACAATAAGCCAAAGTGAAATATAGTAAAGTCACGAAGCGAATATTATGAGTTTAAAATAATGAAACTTCACTGACGAGAATCTTTGAATCCAAAGAACAAATTTTCTTTAAATATTTTAATTAGATAATAATTTTAATTAACGGTGACGTTATTTTTTAACAATTTTAATTATTAGAAAAGACAATAATTTTTCTGCTAAATTTTTCGTAATAGCAGAATTTTCAAATCTTTATAAATGTTCGGTACATAAGATACTTAACTAATTATCTTTTACATTATAAAAGAAAACATAGCCATTAACAAGAAAATAATTCCGTAAAATAAAACTTTATATCTTATTCATTTTGATCTCGATAGTTATTAATCATCTTATTAATTAGTGTGATTGTTTTTTCTGAAATATTATCAAATGATTTTTCAGAATGACTATATTTTATCGTAATTCATCGAATTTTTCGTCTTTAAAATTAGACTATCAGACTGAAAGTCCTTAAAAAATTATTTTTAAAGCGTTTTCTTTTTTAGAAAAAATCCATTAATTGATCAAATTGATTTTTTATCAATAATGTCCATTATATTTTTCAATATTATTTAAAGTAATTATTTATTAATATATCTAAATTTGAGCAAACACAAACCAAGATAAAAAACGCTAACAAAGCAATTTGCTTTTTAAAAATAAGACTAAAAGTCCTTAAAAAGTTATTTTTAAAGCGTATTCTTTTTTAGAAAAAAATCCATTAATTGATTTTTTATCAATAATGTCCATTATCTTTTTCAATATTATTTAAAGTAATTATTTATTAATATATCTAAATTTGAGCAAACACAAGCCAAGATAAAAAAAACGCTGACAAAGCAATTTGCTTTTTAAAAATAAGCCACGATGAAAAAAAGAGTATCTACAAATGCAAAATCGTGCAAATATTAATATGTAAAAATATTGCGTATCAAATGAAAAATTTTTTTAACTCTTCCCTTTTTATTCCTCCCCTCTAAAAGACACTCTTAGATTGACCGAAAGAGAAACGAAGTGTCTCGCATTATGCCGCTGTCATGCCACGGTGCACCTTTAAATTCAAATGACTTGGTTCAAAGATCATGCCTCGTCACAGCTCTTATCATCTGTCTGATAACGCACGCTCCACGTTATTTTTACGTAAAAAAAACGGTAACATGCGTGCGATTATATAAGACCGGGATAAACTTAACGCGAGACCTGCACTTGAAAGCAATCCGACCCTGACCATTATACAAAGCACGAGTCATGTCCTTTTGACAGAGACATCCTCCCAATTGATCCATCGGGAATGATGAGACGGGAGTTCTCGGTCGAAGAAAAATTTGAACGAAGCCTAGCGGAAGCGTGTAAAAAATTACGAGTGCTTCAGATAAATAATAATATTTTTATTTTCTACTATAGTTTCTATATTCAGTTATTATTATCTTAAGAGAAATTTAAGAAATCTACGATGATAATATATCGATAATATTTTCATATCTCGATCGGCTGAACGGGAACATCGTTATTGGATAGAACGCGAGATCCGGGAAGAAAGCCAATGGCACGGCTAAAAATAAAAGGATTTCGACTTGTATAATTCGGGTTACCGATGAAATTTGGACGCGCGACGTGAATCTGATGGGATTTCCGGAATATCGGAAATCCTACTCTCACAAACATAAAAACTAATTCTTTATAATATATATAGTTTTGAAAATATATGCGAACTATTTACATCTTTCTAAACAAATTCCAAAAAAAAAAAATTATACAATTTTTAATAAATAATAACAATAATAATAATTTATAAACGAGTTAATAATAATGAAAATTTTTGTCTGCGATTTTGTCTTAATCAATTATAATCTTAATCTTTAATTTGGAACGATGAACATTCGATTGCGTATCAAAAATATCATCAGTGCAATTTCCTCTTTCTGAATAAAAAAAAACAATGCTTATCTATCGAGATTCGATTCCGCGAAAGCTTAGATAGCAGGAGCTACAGATTGATTGAATGGCAATCGGAAGATGACTGAACTTCGAGGGTCAATCAAGCTTACAGTATAAACGTATTTAACCTTTTAATATATGCGGTTAACCTATTAAACCTCGGTGGCAATTGTAATCACTTTAGAAAAAAACGACAATGTACTCGCGTGACTTAAATATAAAGAATGTCTAAAAAAATAATGCGCGCCGAAACTTTATGTTTGTAAAATAAAACTTTAGAGCCTATTGTTTATCGTGTTCTATTTACATTTTTAATATAATCCGTATTTTTTTCCAGTATTAAATTATTATCAATTATATGTCAGGGAAATTATATAGTAAAATTTTTTAAAGTCAATAATAAAAAGGGCTAAAGTAAAATTTTTATTTTATTTCTTATACCTGTATCTCTTTTTTATATAAAATCTTTTCTTTTCTTTTTTATTTTCAGAATATTACAGTGATAATTTATTATTGAGCTACTAATGACAATATGTAAATATATGAAAGCTTCGCGAATTAGTTCGCTGACTCGTTACCCACTAAATCATTATATGAATGCATTGTGCGAAATACGAGCGGTATCGCTTTAGGTATGCAAGATTATCGGGTTAAATTGCAAACGATGCATCGATATTTATCGCGTGAGAGATCGTTGCAGAATACATACGAGTGTCAATTTAAGCGGAATGTCACACAGTGCTTCAGTGACACTTGAAAAATAAATTATGCGAGTTTACAAGGATTATAAATATTCGTAATATACAGGGTGTCCCCATCCTGAGGTAAAATTAGAGGATTGTAGATAAAAACGCGAAATTTTGTTTCTAATCTAATTTTACCTCAGGATGGGGACACCCTGTATAATATATAATAATATATAGTATTTAATATATAGTATATAGTATATTTTACATACACTTATAAAGCATTTATGTGCATGTTACAAGCTCTTATCATCCGGTTTTCCGGGCGACGATCGAAAAGGTTTATTACAAGATATATATAATATACGAGTATATCTTTCTATATTTATCTATATACAAATATGACGAAAAAAGATAAAAATCTCCTCTCACTTATTTTACGTTAACAGGCACAATATCTGCATCATTCATAGAACATACAACAGCAACCATTTTATTAATTATATCAATAAAAACCGCATATCTCGGATGACGAAACGATCAATGATGCGAGATAAATTTTTGATCTCTACAGTTTCGTCATTGCCAATAATTTTATCGTCCTGCATTTGACTGATATAAGTGACATTTAACTAGTACAAGTAGCATATTTCACTTTGTTTTATAAACCGCTACTTGTTCTCGCATTGTATGTACTCATACCCGCGATTATCTCATCACCGTACGGGTAAAACCGCACCTTCGATCGTAAAAATCCAATTGTCATACAACGGGATCCGAGATACCGCTCGCTATGATAAGATTTATTTTCACACTGAATATTCCACGGCCTCCTAACACTTCTCACAAAAACAAAATCAATTACCCGCTTTTTCTCTTATTGTTAGATAA